AATGTGATCCAGTCCAAGTACAGATAAAGTCTTTACGTTTTGCTTTGAAATTAATTAACAACTACAAAGGAATAATGAATTAGGGTGAAGTGCAAATACATTTTAAGTCTAAGAAAATGTATTATGCTTAGCTATTTCAATAAGCAAGTGGATTGGGGGTTTTTGTTTGGATTGGGGGTGGTAGGATTATATTTCCAAGGTATAATACATTCTATTCCCAATGGGCTATAAAAATTAATTGTCAAAAAGGGCTACTAGAGCATTAAGTATTCTAAACCCATCAGGTTGATATTTGTAAAGATGTAACTCATAGTTTATTGGCTATCCTTTGTAGAAAAAGCTAGAGTGAAAAAAACTTTTATGTTGCTTATAGAACACTTACAGTAAATGACTTTTCTCAAGGACTGGATTTTCAGTTACTGTCATCTTTAAACTTTTGGGCTAAGATAAACAAGTCAAGCTCATAATCTTCATGCATGTTTGCTTATTTGAGAAATGATGAATTAACAATTTTTTCATCATCTTAAGCTGGTTTGAACACTTTGCAGTCATTTCTAAATTCATAGATTTGTTCAGAGTTGTTATTTACTTTAAAACCCTATACTGAAATTACATGAGTGCTTACACTTTAAAAGAGAGATAACTATTCTATTATAAATATTCATAACTGTCTTTTTAGCTGCGCCCTATATATACATATTTTTCTCAGTGCTTCAGATAATGTATTTCAAAATTCTTTCCACAGCATAGAAATAAACTTGAGATAATTTAATGAAAGAATTTTGCAAAAGGGCTCAGGATAAAATAATACTTCAAAGAAGGCATAATCTATTTCCCACAATGCCCGTGTGGCATCCAGATGTAATTATCACAGTACCTCAATCAGCTTGTTGGCATGTTCACGGAAAACCTGTGCATATTCTTTAACTTCTTTCTCATTCCCATTTTTAGCAGCTTCAATCAAAACAAGGAGTGGCACATTTGTTTCCAGAAAAGAATCTGAAACATGGTCCATAACTGCTTTACGGAGCTAAGGAGAGAAATCAAAACAAAATTAAGTTGTTGAACAAGGTAAAATTCTATTTTCAACTTCTGCATTACTAAATGCAGATCCTGCATTTTCTTCATTTTACCAGTGATCCTTCTATTAAACATATGTGGCCTTTCATTGTGAAGAATTATTTCAATGTAGGTAGGATTTTGTTTTTGAAATCTCAAAAAATTACTTGCTTAATTACTTTCGGAATAGACCTAGGTCAAAACACAGGTTCAGCTTCTGTTTTGGTGTGATCAAGGACAAAAATATAAAACTGCTTTAACTAATGACTCTAATGATTAAAAAAAACACTAATGGTTTTTTTTTTGGTAAAAGAGAGTTCATTCACTGTTATAGTAGGGAATGGTAATCTATACTAATCCCTAATGCATCTGTCCACGGCTGAACAAGTGACCAAGAATGTCTAGCCATTCACTGCCTAGTGATCTGTATTATACACATCTGATATCACTAAAGAGTTTCTATTCTAGATGACCATTTCCTTGATAGTTGTGCATTAATGTTTTCTGAGGTGAGGAAAGAAAGCGTCTAATGACTTGACTTGATGGAAGGTTGATTCAGCCTTCCATCCTTCCAAGGTGGGTAAAATGAGGACCCAGACTGTTGGGAGCAATATGCTGACTCTGTAAAACTGCTTAGAAAGGGCTGTAAAAGCACTGGGAAGTGGTATATAAGTCTAAGTACTATTGCTATACTCTCATCTCACAATAATCCACATAAGGACTGCTGCTAACAGTTGTGGAGAAAAGTCCTAGGTTCTCCTGCCAGCTTATGGCTAATATGTCTGGGGTGTACAGGGAAGGTCCAGATTTATTGGCAGCATTGGCTTTCCCAATTGGATCCTGTCACTGGGCTGAGAGGAAGAGGAAAAAAAAATATTATACTCATGAATGTGATAGAATGGAGAAAGCATCATACTCTAGACTTAAGGTTAGCTTGCCCAGTTTTAATACAATCCAAGCATTTAGTTGTCTATAATTGACAGATCTGGAAAAAAATTTGCTAGAATAAATGATATGCTATGTAAATAGCAGACTACATGAGCATTTAATACATATTTAATACTATACCTGTCTACGCAAATCCCTTGTCTTTTTTGTCATTTTGTCTATTGCCGAGTTGAGGGCATCGCTTCTTTCTTTGCGTCCAGCCTAGAAAATCAAATAAAACAGCATTAAATTATTTTAATTATACAATAGCTCAAGTCTAAATTCCATTGACTTTTCCACTCATTCAGCATCAATGGCAAACTGAAATCAGCAGAAGTCTTATATATCAAAACAGTAGTATATAGGAAATGTTTCTGGATGGATCTAGAAACTAGAATACACAATTTGTACCATATATCTGATATTGCACATAGTTTGGATTTTATATTTGGCTTCCTTAATTGCACTTTATAGGTTTATTAAGACTGGATTGTAACAATGTTCCTAACCAGCTGTCTGAGTCAATTGCTTTACTGTATTCATTTTGCACCACACCCAGGAAGCTGCTATACAGTCAATTTGTGAAACAGTATCATGGTTAGATTCAGACTAAAGAATGAGTCTGGTTCATTAGTGAAAAGAAATGTTGCCATCAGTCATGATGAGTCCTTGAAGATGTCCTATTTGCCTAATGCATATGATGGACAAATTTCAACACTTTAAAATATGCACAACTATGTAGTATAGGACCCATGGAAGAGATTAATTCTCAGACACAATCCTTTAATGTAGTTGAAACTATAATTTTTCCTATTATAACACATCTTAGAAGATACACTTTAGGGAGATGTCATTTTTAAAGTATCTTCAGAATATAGCAATAATGCTTCGTTATATTTATTTTATTTATATATTTAGCACAGATAACGTGTAAAATCACTGCTGCAGGGTGTGCACATAATGGTACAAAGTATACAATTACATTCAACAATTTTTGTTGAATATGCTTAGAACTGCACACTTAGTTCCTGTAGATTTCTAGATTTGCTAGGTGTAGTGGACTCGCCAGTAACATAGAGGGAGATGTTAAGAAGAGGCTAAGCTTAGAATTCCTGCACCGCCCCTCCCACCCAAAAAAATTAATAATCCCTGAAGCCTTTTGACCGATCCGAAGAGAAAATGCAATCAAGTCAGGTGAGATTCTTGTAAGATAGGTGACTAACAACAAAACCTCTGTGTGAGACTACCCACATACGATTCTGGTTATTTGTGCCTGATACTAAAGGTGGCTTGTACATTTCACTCTGACATAACATGGTTGTTTAGTTTCAGCACAATTAACCATTATGGGCTATTCAATAAACCGTAGTTAAACAAGGCATAACTTAGAACAATATATGAATCCAGATGCAAAATTAGTTGAATTAAAAGAAACCTGAATGAAGCTGAACCTCTTAATTACATGGACAGATTGTTCTAACTCCCAGGAAAACTGATAATCTTGCTTGATTAAATAGCCCTTAGGGATCTTTTTCTGATTGGTTCCACCTGTTTAGAAGTGGTCATCTCTTACAGAAAACGAGTCATCACTGCTTTTACTTAATTTAGCAACTGTTTCTGTCCCCCGTTATTCCTTAAGCTCCTTGTGGCCAACAGCTCATGTGTCAGGTTTACAAATTTGGCATCTGTTTATAACATGACAACCTTTGTTACATTATGACAGTGTAGAGAAGGACTTGCATGAACCAAAGATTCTGTGTCCACATACATGAGTGCAAAAAGTCAAGTGAAATGGAAGGTATCATATTTCTCAAGAAAAACGTTTAGTACTAGTAAAACACAAGGCCCCTTTTTGTACAGGTGGCAGTATTGTACTAGAAAAACATCTGTTGAATTTCACTAACTAAGCAAGCAGGCTATGCCTATGCTAGGATATAAGGCTGGTTATTTTTATTTAAAATATTTTCAAAAGAAAACATGACAAACATTAGTATCCGAGAGCTTATAAGTAAAAAGGCAGGATAAAAATAAACTAACATGGATAGCAACATTTTCCAGGAAATAAAACATTCCGATACAACAGAAGATGCAAAGAATAATATGTTAAGTACAGTAACTCTAGCCAAACCAGATTATGTTAAAACGAAAACATGCATGTGGCAAAGAAATTACATCCAATGCAAGTACAAAGTTGTAGGTTTGGTATCAAGTCTGTTTTGTCATACCCTTTACAGGTATTCCCAATTCCTATGGATAATGGGATTGGGAAGCTGCAGCTATGACAGGCAACAAGGAATAGAATTATGCTGCCATGATACATTGTGCAAACATTTTATAAAGGGGTCCCCCTTAGAAATTCAAACTTAATCCTCATCAATCTGAATGCTAGATTGCCTGGATATCCTATGATAAGCAAGCTTGGTTTTTAATCTAAGGCAAACTACATTACTGTATTTCTAACCAGGGTTTCCGAAATAGGCATACTCTAGCTGACTCCATGTTTTCTGCTTAAGAGTTATTGACTATGTGTCACAAACAATAAATTGTACTTTGAAAGGATTGAATCTCATAAAATGAAGACAAATTCCAATAGCTGGATTCAAACTAATGATCTGCTTCCAAAAAGTCTATACACCTTTGTTTATAATACAATAATTCATGTATTATAAGTGAAAGTTTAGACTAGTAGTAGAAGTGGAGCTATGTTTGAGCTAAGATTTAAACTTATATCATTATATAGTAAGATGTTTTTATTGTATGACATTGACTTATAATATATATTTTAATGATGTGCACAGTGTCAGGTGGGTAGTCTAGAAATATAATAAACAAATGAACATACAAATGGAGGAACCATTTCTGTTTTTACGCATGTTCCTTTTCAATATACTATCAATGCAGTGGTGGGTCCTGGATCCCGTTGCAACCAGTATGGTTGCAACGGGGCCCAGCATCCTCCACACAAATGCATGAGGTGTGAGCACACACACACGCATGTATCTTACCATCTTGCGATGCCTCTGCGACACTCCTGCTGCTCGGTGGAGCGTCGCGAAGGTGCTATACGTGTGTGTGGAAGTGCCGAAAACTTTAAAGACAGGTAAGGAGCGCGTGTGGGCAGGCCCTCCGGAGCAACATACCAGAATGGTACCCGGTGCTCTGGGCAGGCTCCGGTATGCCCGTACCAGGGAGTACCGCCTGCAACCCACCACTGTATCAATATATAATAATAATTCTGCTCGTACATATGATTTTACCTAAGAGAAACTACAGTACTATCCATTTTGGACAAAGTTTCTTGGAATTCTAATGTTTATTGTTTAAAATTGGAAGCGAAATGACTTGGCTTTTATCTTGCAAATCATTTATAATCTGAATTCCCAGGCCTACAAATGCTAGCTATATGCAATATTAACCTCATTTTCTTTAGTTATTCATTACTATCATTTTGTTGAAGTATTTCTCTTTAAACTTCACTTTAAGATTTTCCCTTCTTTTGTTGCCTTTGCAAATACATGGCATAGTTATTTCTACTTTTGCCTTCCTTTAACTCTTCTAAGATCTGACCAGTTAACTAACAGCAGCCAAATGGCCTACTCCACTATCATAAGGGCATCAGGAAACTGCAAGAAAAAATTATGAGAGATTTCCACATCATCAAATATACTCTCAATAATCTAAACTGTTCAATTCAATTACATAAAAAGACAGCAAAACTGGGAGGAAAATAAATGACTTTCTATTACTATCTTTATTTAAAAATGATTCCCTTAATTAAAGCGAAGATGAGTTTTTCTTTCATAAATAGTACTGTAGACACTACGGTATTTAAAAAGGATAGACACTTCTGTCCCATATTCTCTCTCTCCCTCCCTCCCCCCAGTCTCTTTCTCTCTCTCTCACACACACACTATACAGCTCTGTGTGGCAGAAAGGGTAATAACTACTTATTGTCTTCTGGCTTGGAGATACTCATTTTTTACAAATGGAGGGCCAATAGTTTTCTTTTTTCAGTTATCTTGTCCCTCTCCTCCAGTTTGTTCCCTTTTTCTTTTTTCATTCCAAATATGACTATCCCTTTTTCATACCCTTTCTCTATTCCGCTTTTCTTTTCTTTTTGCTGTTCAGCTGGAATGAAGATGTGTGCATGCACTTGCATCTTTATGCAAAAGGAATACTTTGTGTGCGCATACACAGAGAGAATCAATAAAAAAATTGGAGTGCCTTAATTTACATACAACTAGTGATTCATTCAGTTTTAGCTTTTATCCTTTTAAGATTGTGGTTTCTGGCAAGTATCTGTAAACCAGACTAGAAATATGTCATAGATCCTTTGGAAGGGGAAAAACCCTCCAGGACCGGATTCAGCAGAAGATGGTATACTTAAGTCTGATATAGTAAAAATGAATGCATTAAATATAATAACTGAGCATGCTCATAGTTTTTTTCATCTCTTTATTTCTTGGATATTGTCTAAAATTTAGGGTCTCTTCCTTATGTGTATCTCAAATATCTGGAAATGACTATGCATGATTTAAAAATATGAGTTCCATATAAAATAAAAAGGACTTAGGTAAGATAGTGGCGAGTTTAGTACTTTAAGATAGCCATGCACAGCATGGAGCTGCCTTTCAGTAGGTATTTTGGAAGTCTGGCATCTTCAATTTCAAAACCACACCTCTGTGAACACATTTTCCTTCCCAATCAAAAAGTTCAGCAGAATGTTGGATCTGATTTGGAAGTTGCAAAGTGAAGCCTCTTGGAAGTTTCTTTATGACAGAACCAGACATAAAAGGTCCAGATCCCCATTTTTGATATAGAATAGGAACTGACTTCTTCAGATAGAGACCAGCTCAAACTCCACCTTTTTTCAAGAAAGGAGGTACTCTGTCTTATTTTGTCAGGTCTGCTAACTACCAATCACTACTTCAAGTCAGAATTGAATTGAATTGATTAGGTTTCTATGGCGCCCAATCCTGAAGGACTCCGGGCGGCTTACAGAATAAAAAAAAATTAAAAGAACTTAAAAACAATAGGACACACAAAGTTAAAAAAGAACGCAACAAACACCAATCAGAAGGCCTGCCGGAAAAGCCAGGTTTTAATGGCTTTGCAAAACGCCATGAGAGTGGGGATGGCCCGGATCTCTGGGGGCAGCTCATTCCATATGGCCGGAGCGGCAACAGAGAAGGCCCTACTCCTAGGCACCGCCAGCCGGCATTGTCCTGCTGAAGACACCTGGAGAAGGCCCATCCTGTATGATCTTATTGGTCTAAGGGAGGTATGTGGCAGGAGACGGTCTGGTAGGTACCCAGGTCCTAGGCCATGTATGGCTTTAAAGGTAATAACCAGCACCTTGAATTGTGTTCAGAGACCAATGGGCAGCCAGTGCAGCTCGCAGAGGATAGGTGTGACGTGGGTGTACCTTGGCACACCCAGTATCGCTCGCGCAGCTGCATTCTGGACTAGTTGCAGTCTCCGAACACTTTTCAGGGGCAGCCCCAAGTAGAGCGCGTTACAGTAATCCAGTCTTGAGATGACGAGGGCATGAGTGACTGTCTGAAGTGCCTCCCGGTCCAAATAGGGCCGCAACTGGTGCACCAGGTGAACCTGGGCAAAGGCCCCCCTGGTCACAGCTGACAAATAGTGTTCCAAGGTCAGCTGCGGGTCGAGGAGGACCCCCAAATTGCGACCCCTCTCTGAGGCGGGCAAGTTTTCTCCCCCCAGGATTAAGGATGGACTAGATGGACTGTCCTTAGGGGGCAACATCCACAGCCATTCAGTCTTGTCAGGATTGAGTGCGAGTTTGTTCACTCCCATCCAGACCCTAACAGCTTCCAGGCACTGGCACATCACTTCCACCGCTTCACTGAGTTGGCACGGGGTGGACAGATACAGCTGAGTATCGTCTGCATACTGGTGGTATTTAATCCCGTGCCGGCGGATGATCTCGCCTAGTCGCTTCATGTAGATGTTAAATAGTCAGAGCCCCTTTGGACTTTGTGTGCTTCCTTGGTTGCTGTTGAACAGCTTCCATCATTGTAACTGTGGATAGACAAGCACAGTTTTTGGCTTGGCTAATGAGATCTGGTAAAAACTTCCCCCACCCCACCAGCCAAATCTAAAGATTCAGATTTAATAGTAATTTTTTTCTGAAAAGTATTGAATACTGCATATTCAAAATTCTAAAAACAGTAACTGAAAATTCTTGATATACTATCTGCCATAAATATGTGATCAAGAATTCTGCAAGTGTTAGGTGAAAAGGAAGTAATTTCCGTGAGAAAAATAGGTGTAGAAAAAATAGCATAGTTACACTGCTAAATCATAAATATGGTTTTAACATCATGCATGCATGGATGCATATATGCATATATACATACATATGCATACACTCACACACCAACATAAAACAATTACAGGTTACTTTACAAGTTAAAAAATTACAGCAGTGACAGAATCATATTCAAAATATAAAGTGTGAGGTTAGGTCCTATTAGCATTAATTCTTATTAATGGAGAATTATGTTTTAATGTTGCCAAATATGGATAAAACTATATTACCATTTCCAAATAAAATATTTACTAGGTTATTCACATTATTTGAACTGATAACTGCAAAGCCAAGCATGCAGTTAAATACTACCGCCTCTGGCTCACTCCTCAGTTCAATTTAAGAAGTAAAAGAGCTACATATTTAATAATTAAAGATGGTAATGTCCTGTACATTTTCAGGGACTCAAGTCATTTAGAATGGGATCAACGTATGTATTGAGCACGTATACATGCTCTAAATTCTGTCTGAACTACCCAGATAAAGAATCATCAAAGCCCAGTGCAATTGATTTTTACACACAATTTTACAATTTTTAAAATCTTATCTTTTTAATATAAGCGATGCTTTTATAAATATATTCCCTTAAAAAAACTTTATAAATGAATGCTACCAATTTTTAAAGTGCTATGTCATGTGCGAGTTTTTCCTGTTAAGTTGTTTTGGGGACTCTGTGTGTGTGTGTGTGTAATGCTCTTATGTACCATTTTTACAGTTTTCATACAGAATACCAACACAAAGATTAAATCACAAAAATCAAAACCTGTACAGTTTAAGATTGTAGTAATAAGCATGTAATCTACCAGACAGACTCTTGCAAAATCATTCCTATCTCCTGGATATCAGCTGAAGAATTCTTACTTTTTTTCCTCTTAGTGGTAGTCTAATCTCACAATTGAGAGTTTGCACTATAGTGCCTTAAACTGCAAAAGCTTCTGGAAAACCCAAACAAAAAGGAACGTCACAGGGTGACGTCAGCCTATATACAGTTGTGTGGTAGCAGCACATAAGCAAATGCGTTCTGTACCTTAGCCCTGAAAGCTTTTCAGCAAATGCATTCAAGCGACTACAGAGGCTTCTCTCAGTGATAAGCTACCCATCTGCCATCAACAAGTTAAGAGTAAAAAAGCCATAGCTGTGGAAAGCGTTTGCAATTAAGCAGCTGTCCAGTTTAAGAAAACCTGCCAATCAACTCAGCACTGATTCAGGAATTAACAGATCTGCTACTGGAAATCAAGGTCATGAATTCAAAGGAATATATTGGAAATGGGATGTGAAGCCTTTTTATTTACTACAAAATCAAAGAAGAGTAGAGAGAGCAAATGATTTAAAAGCTGTCAACGTTAGAGCTTTTTACAGACTCACGGTGTTGAGTCTAAAACTACGACTGAATGCAACCTCCAACGTACTCAAAAGAATGGGTAAGTTTGCATTATTTGACTTGTTTTATAATGGGCAGTTAATCTAGCTTTTGAAATGTACGTTTAGGAAGCAGTACTTTTTTTAAGACTGGGAAACTGCTTAGCATTAATTTCAGTAACTTAGATATATCTCTACCAAGAATTTTTTTAAAATAAGAATTAAAGCTCCAAAACATTTTAATGCATGCCATTATTTGCAGCAATCTTTCTCCTCTTGTTCTAAGCATACATCTGATAAGAATATCCTATTTTGTTGTTTCCCTGAATTATATTCTGCAGGCTTACATTTCAAGTGGCCATTAGGGGCTCCTATGCTGGCAGCAGTATATGCAATGAGTATTGTTTTTAAAATGCTGCCTGCCTTGGGCACGGCTTGTCCACCAAAATGCCGTTGTGAGAAGCTGCTCTTTTACTGTGACTCTCAGGGGTTTCACTCAGTGCCAAACACCACTGACAAGGGCTGTCTAGGTTTGTCATTGAGGCACAATTTCATTACGGAACTTGAAGGGGATCAGTTTGCAAGCTTCAGTCAACTTACCTGGCTTCATTTAGACCATAATCAAATTGATACAGTAAGAGAAGATGCTTTTCAAGGACTATATAAACTCAAGGAATTAATTTTAAGTTCAAACAAAATATCTTATTTACCAAACACAACTTTCAGCCAGCTGCTTAACCTGCAACATTTGGATCTCTCTTTCAATCAATTATCTGCTTTGAATCCTGAATTGTTGTATGGCCTTCGTAAACTGCAAACCCTGAGTTTACGTTCCAATTCTCTGAGGACTATTCCAGTCCGCCTGTTTTCAGATTGTCGTAGTTTGGATTTTTTGGATCTGAGCACAAATCGCTTGCGAAGTTTGGCGCGCAATGGATTTGCAGGATTAACCAAACTAAGGGAGCTTCACCTAGAGCACAACCAGCTGACCAAGATTAACTTTGCTCACTTCCTTCGGCTAAGCAACCTGCACATGCTCTTCTTACAGGGGAATAAAATTAGCAACCTGACCTGCGGGATGGAATGGACCTGGAGCACTTTAGAAAAGCTAGATTTGTCTGGAAATGATATCAAAGCCATCGATACGACAGTTTTTGAAATAATGCCTAATCTTAAAATTCTCCTAATGGATAACAACAAACTAACCACTCTGGAGTCCAAGGTTTTATATTCACTTAAAACCCTAACGACTGTGGGTCTCTCCAGCAACCCCTGGGAATGCAGCCCCAAAATATGTGCACTAGCTACATGGCTCAGTGGCTTCCAAGGTCGGTGGGAATACTCCATCCTTTGTCATACCCCAAACCATACCCAGGGAGAGGATATTCTGGATGCAGTTTATGGTTTTCAGCTTTGCTGGAATTTATCAACTGTTGTTACACCCATTGCTACAACTCACAGAGCTCCAACAACTGAATATACAAAGCGAATAAGCTCCTCAAATTTCCATGTGGGAGATAAAGAAATTTCAACCACCACAGGCATACCCTTTACCACAGAAGAGCAGATCCCTGAACCAAACAATGTCATCTTCACCCAGCAGGTAATTACAGGAACAATGGCTTTATTATTTTCTTTCTTTTTTATCATTTTTGTAGTGTTCATCTCCAGGAAGTGCTGTCCTCCCACATTAAGAAAAATTAGGCAGTGTTCAATGATTCAAAGCCACAGGCAACTGCGATCTCAAACACGGCTGCATATGTCAAATATGTCAGACCAAGGACCATATAATGAATATGAACCTGCCCATGAAGGACCTTTCATCATCATTAATGGCTATGGACAATGCAAATGTCAGCAGTTACCCTATAAAGAATGTGAAGTGTAATATCTACAGGTAATCAAAGAACACAAAGGAGATAAAACTTATTTTAAATTGCAGGGATCTGATACATTTTTAAAAAACTCAAATACTGAGAAAGCCTAGATTTTTCTAAGCAACTTGTTTTGAGTGATGCAGTAGTATTTCAGGGTGTTTTTTTTTTAAATAAACCCACAATATTTTCAGTGTTTAAATAACAGTGTTGGCATTACATTTGCATTCCTGATGTTTGGAATCTATGCTCAGCCCAAAATATGTATATTGTTTCATGTTATGTAATTATATGTGTATTTTTTTATTTTTTTACTCCCAAGACTCCAGATATAATTTAGAAAAATAATTTGGATGAAAATATTGTTGGGTATCTATTTAATGGACTTAAGGGTGGGGGGAATATTTTACCAAATGATGCATTGTAATTACAAAATTTTACCAACATTTCAGCCAGTTCAGTGTTTCATGAAGTACATACTAGCCAAAAAAACACACACAAAAAGATAATTTCCTTGTTCTGTCTTGTGATCAAAGGTGCAGAAAAGAGATTTTCCAGTCTACTACAGCATGGAATTTTAGTACTATTTTAACTCCATAGTAAGAATTCAGAATTTTAAATGTGTTGCAATTTCAGAATATAGCTACTGCCACTTCTGAATAAAGATCACATTCATTACTTCAGAATATTAATCTGCTACAGCTATTCAGTAGCATTTAGTGTGGTTTCCAAATATTACATGAGCTTCAACTTTTGTGAAATCTGTCCTGACTTTAATGGGATACATTTCATACCAAGGAGCAACATATAAAGAAATGAACACTAAGGATTTTTTTTAAGCAAAAAAGCCCTCTTTCCTTTCTTCAACATGTCTAACTGACTACTTAATACCGGAACACTATTTTATATATTCATTACTATTCCTCTGGCATCGAATTATTCTCTCAGAGTGAACTCTCAATTACCACTGTTAATTCCAACACTGGATAATTGAAACACCAATCCAATATTCAAGGAGAGGGCTCTACTGATTACAATATAATTAATTAATTTAATTACACTTGTGGAAAGAGTAAGAACTTTTAAAACTCAGATTGCTATTTTTTGTGGAGAAAGATTATAATGTCATTTAAAATAGGACAAAATTTCTCTGGAAAGCAAATAATAAATTCTTGGATCTTAAAAATTCTAGATTTAGTGTTTATGAAACTTACTTTACTACACATTTGTGTAGTTTAAATGTAATACAATTAAGAAATTATTTAGTACAACTCTCAAATCATGAACACATAATCAAAGGTATAATATTTTGAAGAAAATGTACATATGTAGATCTAACCATCATGCCAAGTTCAACAATGACATTTGTTAGTGGGGAAAAGAAATATTGATGCTTGGATTCTTTAAATCAGTATATAATATTGTATATTGTACTATGGTGCAAGGTTTTCAAACAAATCATCATTTATCTGATGCTTGTGCTATATAAACATCCTTGAATAAATATTGTAAAGGTTTGAACAGGGTGGAAAGGATGGAAATTTCAGACTTTAAAGCCAATGCATCAAATCCAGTACTTTCACGTTTTTTAATCGGCATTACTTTAGCTCAGTATATTGGATTGTATTACTTAAAGCTCTATTAAACCAAACTATTAGTAAAAAGTAGATAAAATCTACAAATCCTCTACATGATAAGCCATTGTCTTTCAGCCATATACAGCATATTCTATGCATCTGGTAACTAGATTTTATCTGCATTGAAACATAATATCTATTAAGAATTTATGTTCCACTTATCAAACTGAGAACTGCCTATGTTTTGGTCTCTATTTCCATTACTAATTTAACAAGAATCCATTGTGTGTAAGCAAATTGGTTTGAAGGTGAAATGAGATGTATAAACTGCAAAGATTTAGAAGGCAACTGAGTAACAATTATGTTAATATTTACATTCTAAAAGAACATTTTTTCACAGCATCTTAATGAAATTTGTATCTCATAAGATACTCCATCAGAATACAGCCCAACATTATTTCATCAGCATTACTTAGCTACTATATGAAGTTGCAATAACTGGCTTACTAATTGGTCAAAACCCTTTGTTATTACTATCCCTTCTCTTCAGGGCACTTCACCTAAGTCAGTAGATGCTGCAGAAATTACCAGCAGCTAAGAGATTTATTTTCTCCTATGTCAATCTGTTCTCTTTTCCTTCTGAACTACTTGAAAAACACCTATACAGTATAATACAATTTTCATAGTCATACAAGATTTGAGAATACAAATTTTAGCCCCTTAGCTAGTATCTCATATTATCATGCCTACTATTTTAATCTAAAGAGAAAGTGCAGGACAATATTATGCATTAATTCTATAATATCAGTCATGTAGGCTGCATGGTACAGTTATATAATTACCAAAATATATCAGGTGTAGACCAGTTTGGTTCTAATTATGTTAATTGGATTTCTCTACTCTACTTTTCCTTACGAATCTAAAAAGAGGACATTTTTCTAGTGTGACAAAACTAACCGCTACTGATTTCACATTCAGTAATGCAGCAAGTATTATTTAAGACTCTGACCAGTCGCAATATGTATTTTTACACTGACAGGGTCTTCAAATAAAGAGTTTAAATATATGCAAAAGTCATAGGCAAAATATTAACGTCACCTGATAGCAATTTAAACACAATTTTCAGTGCCCCCATTTGATTATTACTTATTCATGGGAAGATGAGTATGATATATCCTTGGCAAATATCCAAATGCTGAATCATTAAATAAAATTCTAGGTGACATGCAAACCTGTATGAATTAATTCTAAACTGGTGTTAAATTATGAGGCTATTGATCACACCCAGCCCAAAGCATCGTATTTCTCCCAAATGCTTCAACCAAAGCTGAAATACAGATTTTGCCATTTTTCTTTAGCAGTCCTTAACAGAATGCCGTCTTGAATTACTTCAGCTTCTATAGTTGATATTTCAAGTGATGGTTACAATAGTCCCAGAAGGAAAATAAATAATGGAGCCATCACTTATCTTAGCACTGTTCAATCAGTCCTTGAACATATAAATTATTTCCATTATTTCAGACAGCAAAGGTTCCTGCAAGCAAGTTCCTGAATTAAATGTTCTCTGCTACTATGGGAAGAACAAGTTGTGATGGTTAATTATGTTCAATATCACCTTCCAGTCCAAGATCCAATACAGAGATTGAACTTTATAAGCTTTTACCTGGCTAAAAGCTTAGTACAATAAATTGTACTATAAATTCATATTAATTTAATATTGCAGGGCATATTTAGTGGGGGATCTTATTGAGACATCATATAATATAATACAAATCATGTCATCTAAATGAAAAGCAAATAATGGTCATATCTGCACCATCGATTTCAGAGATATATACTATACTTCTATTTCAGTTATCATTTTAGCTTCCCCCTCAAATTTTTAAATGTTGGAAATATTAATAGAAAATTCTAATGGTTTCTACTAGCAATATTCCAAGTGCATTTTCGATGGTGGTGGTGGGGACTTCATAATGCAGTAAGTGCAGTGTACAAAAACATTAAAAAAATCTATACATTATAAAACTAGAAGCTGACTCTTTCTTGGTGCCCTTTCAAAATAAGAAACTCTGAATTTCATTTTCTTTCTTGATTATAAGTATGCTTATATCTTTCCTTATAATACAGGTTATAGGAAAATCTCTTTTGGGAATGAGCATATTGTTTTGCTTTTAAGATACAAATACGATGCCCTCGTGTTTTGGTATTATCAATGTCACAGTATCATGATATCAATCTCAAATAGATCTTGTTTTGTTATAGAAAACTTCCGTATCACAACCCTCAAGATTTTTCATAAGGTTGACAAATTGTAGAGGACTCCCTTTTTTAAATTTCCAAGAATATATTATTAAATTTGAATGGGCTCAGCATCATTAAATCAAATACTTTCACAAATTTTCATATTCTTCATGTTCTTATCTGAAAATTATTTATGAGGAATCCATGTTGGGCATAACTTTCAGTTTTATGTGCTAAGATTACTGCAATTTCCTAGGCTGTTTCATAAGATGAAGAAAAAAATTTCAGCAGATTTTTTGGCACCTCTGAATTGGATGTAAGGGAATGTAAAGAGATTAATTTGATAATCCCATGTTATGAATTTTCTCATATTAATTACCTGTTATTCAACATGATTTTACTGAAATCACTACATTGACAGAGTAGAATCTGAGAGATGACCTTCCAGAATACATGTGAAAAATCTTTTTTATATCAAACACCAGATTTTCCAACATAGTCAAATTGATCACTTGTACAACAAAATCAATCTTCAGTTCCTCTGTCAATTTATGTGCAGTCAGCAAGGTAAGGCTCATAGCAAATTTAATTTCTAGTCCAGGTGCTTAAATAAGGATATGTAGTATAAACTGCTCCATGTTTAAGTTTCTAAGTTTCTGAGACTTAGCAGTCCATGAAAAAAAAAACATCAGTCTCAAATTGCTCTGAGGCCATTCAAAGACTTACACAGAAAGCACTGATAAAAAAAGTTCAAGAAAAAACATTTTGTAAAGGGATCAGAATGGTAAACAGATCACGAAGTCTCAGATTCTATCTTGTAAGAACAAGTTTTTGTATTTTAAATTATTTCATTCATTTAAGACGACTTAAGAGAGACAAAAACATGCAATATATGTAGTTCTTAAGCCCATTCCTACTCAAGAATCTATGTCCCTAAGAGAAATGTGCAGTTTAACACAAGTCCACAATAAGCAATAAGAACTAATTACCGCATTTGAATTAAGAAGGAAATTATTTTTGTTAATATATGGGGAGTCTCTAATATACATTAGAGATGCTTATCTAGGGTTTTCAATCTAAAATTGAGAATAACATCTGAGACAGACATATATTCTAATATTTAATCTCAATGCATAAGTGGCTTTTAATTATCATAATTGCTGAAATTCAGTCAACCTGACCTTAGAGGCTTTTGTTATAAAAGCACAACACCAATCTTGCAACAAAAATTATCCAGTGTTTTCTAATAAGCATAGCTATTTGTTTAAAAGGAAATATTTAATTCTCCCTTTTTCTTGTACTGCTCTTCACTTTTCAAAAGCCTAAAATCTGCAATATATTTCAGAAGAGCAGTCTTTCATTCTTTTCAAGGCAGAAAAAATATTTTTGGATTAAAGACACATTTGAATACTTGGCTATTATTAATGCTGTTCAGCATATACATTGTAGTAGTAATGCTATTATATCTCACATTAAATAAGATCAGGATGTTACATGAATTATTCCATATTATTTGAATGAAGCAATTTCTCCCCCCCCCCCGCCAATTAACTAGATAGCCTGGTCTGATTACAAGAGGCAGAACTGCAACTTCTAGGTGCTATCTTAACTTTTTTTGGGGGGCTTAGAGGTTGAAAAATAACAGTAATATTAACTTCTATTCTAAGATGTCCTTCAATTATTTTGGTTATATTCTCTGGAATTAGGTTAAGAGAAATTAGGCAAAAGCAATGTGTAATTTTCTTTTCATAAAATGAGGACAATAATTTGTTTTTTAGATACATTTTGAAATGTAATGATATTTGAATGGCCTAATTTCCTGATAGACAAGCCCATTCATAGGTCTGCAAAAAAAAATTTTCGAGAGCTGTTTTGGTTATTCCACGTAATCTTTTATGTTTTTTGGTGCACCGAATCCGAAAATGACCTCCATTTTGTCGTAGGACATCACGTTTCCTGACAATTTAGGTAACTATGTTAAATAAGGCAATACCTCAAAATAAATGGAAATAGACTTATAAAATTAAAGTTTTATTACAATATTTTCATGAAAATCCTTTTTTGAACTGAACTGAAATGAGCTCACCTACACACACTAAACTTGATTCTTCTTCCTTGTGAGGCTCCTCTTGGTGCATTTACGCTTGTGAGTAGCATCTGGAATGTCTCTCTGAAGCATCCAACAGTAGTCTGCCATCACTGTAATGCTCCATTTTCCCTGGTAGCTCCTTTCCATCTCTTTAATGTCTTGGTGGAATCATTCACCTTGTTCCCCACTCACAGCTCCCAAATTTTCAAGAAAGTTGTCAAGGTGGGACTGAAGGAAATGCACTTTCAAACTCATCAGGCAACCTAAAGCTTGAAATGCTTTCAGCATTCTTCCAACAATCTTTTTGTAGTGAGGATCTTTGTTATTGCCTAAAAATTGTTATATGACTTCTTTAAATGCAATCTACCCTTCTTTTTGAGGATCCGTCATGGTATTGACAAACTCTTGATCAACTATAAGCCTTCTAATGTCTGGTCCGACGAACACACCTTCCTTCAATTTTGCGTCCAACAGGCATGGAAACTTGGTGACCAAGTATTTGAAGCATTCTCCATCTCTTGGAAGTGATTTTATGAATTGCAATTTTATGTGGAGAGGTGGTAGAAGAACTTTATGGGAAGGTACCAAAGTTTCTCCGAAGACATTTTTTTTCACCGACTGTTAGGACCCTTGGCTGCCAACTCTTCTTGGTCCAGTGATTTTGTTGGTCTCGACTGTCCCATAGACACAGAAAACAAGGGTATTTGGTATACCCAGCTTGTTGCCTGAACAACATGCACAAGACCTTCAAGTCCCCACACACTTGCCAACCATGGTCTTCATATTTAAGTTTATGAAGATCCAATATCAAGTTCTCGTAGGTTTCCTTCAAGTGTACAGAATGACCTACAGGTACGGAAGCGTAAAAACAGTTGTGGAGTAAAACTGCTTTGAGACTTCTTTTTGAAGAATCTATAAAAAGACGCCATTGCTCTGAATTATATTGGATTTTAAATTGACCCATCAGAACTTCGACATCGATGCAATAAACCAACTTGTCTTCCTGGGCCTGAAGTAAGGAACGAACTCCTTTTCACGATGTCTGAACAATGAAGATGACACTCCTGGCAACAATAAATTCCTGCTTTTCAGCCTTGATCCGAGTAACTCAATGGCATCTTTGGGAAGGTTCAAGTCTCTTACCAAATCATTCATCTCCTCTTGAGAAAACAATTTTGGTCTTGTATCATCTTCAAAGTCAGAACTTGATTCGTCATCTGGTTCAGGTATCTCTTCCAAGGTAGCAGGGGGCTTGGGTACTGGTATATCTGTGCCATGGGGGATGGGACGAATTTTTGAGTGAAGACTGGGGTATGAAATGGAATGCTTCCATTTGGAATTAAACTCTTTCACATCGCATGAACAAAAGTAACAGTCATCACTATGGTTCTTTTGCTCTGGCCATACCATAGGAATCCCATAACGGAAAGATTTTTTCTTACCCTTGAACTAGTTTTGGAGGTCCTCAACACACCATTTGCACACTTTATGAGGCGCCCAAACATTATCTTGATCTCCAATTTTTAGTCCAAAGTATGCAAAGTATACTTTTTTTTACAAAGTCTGTAATATTCTGCTGTTGATTCAACACTGTACATTCACCACAGATGAAACAGAAACTGTCTGGCGAATTAATACACTTTCACGGAGCCATAACATAATGATTGAAGAATGATGAGCTAACATGAATTGCGATGAAAAAATGTGAACCAAGAACCTGATGATGATTCGTGCACAAGTGTGGCATGCAGGAGAGAGCAGCTCTGTGTCTGTACACGAGACATCACAGTGCTGGCCATGCCCCCTGCTCTGACCGGAGATGCTGCTATCTGCCCTGTGTCTCCCTCCTTGGATTCTTCAGGAAAGATTAACCCCTTCTACCATTAGAAGCACAGACTTAAAACTTGCTTAGCTTATGTATATATTGCTGACCATCAGATTTACAGTGCTATATTTTTTTACGTAACTCGGACAAACCCTTAAAGGTTTTTTTTTGGCATTTTATATCTTAAATGCACTTATGTGAATTAATTAATAGTAATTTGGACTTTAAATTTGGTTAAAAACCCATAATATATAAAAAAATACAATTTTTTTTAAAAAAAATGATACATTTGAAGACAATTTTGCACGTTGTGGCAAATCATGACGTCTAGGAGTTTTTTCAATATTTTATTTGTTTTCAGCACACCAAAATACATGGAAATTAGATGAAAATAATCAAACAGCTTTTTAGTCACAGACCTGTGATTATGTGATAATTATCAATTGAAGCTTAAAATGCCTTTGACCTTTCACTGTCTTCTCAATGATTAAACTCTTATTAATGCTGGAAACCATTTCCTACTTTATCAGCCACTACATATTTTTGATTCTTCTAACAGAGAAAAAAAGCAGAAGAGACAGATGCCTTGTTAATCAGAAATAGTTTCTGACATATGTGATTTTAAAAAAAAAATTACATATTCATCTTTCACCTTTTCTGAAAGCTCAAAATGGTATATAAATCCTTCCCCAACAATTTGTGCCCCATAATAACTCATAATAAGAGTCTGAGAAAAAAAGATTGGTCCAGTTAATGACACAAGCTCTATGGTTAAGAGAAGAATCCTGGGGTCTGCAGTGCAAGTTTAATGCACTGGCAGAAAAACTCAGCAGAGTAGTCCAACTTGGAAACTAAACGTTATTTTCCACTATGAAAAAATTCCTACTGATCTAAAGAATTGCAGATACTGAAACTTTTTGCTCCTTTTTTCACATAGTTCATCTTAATGATGTGTTATTAAATAAGCTAGGTTAAAATAATGTTGGTATGTTTTCTTAAATAAAGATAAGTTTTTAATTAAATTAAAACCAAAACCAAAAGTGTTACATCTTCTCACAGTACTGTCAGGTGGCAAACACAACATGGCTATGGTACTAAACCTTAAC